CTGAACTTCCCCTGGACAATGAAGCACAGAAGATTGCAGCCGGGTAATTAAGAGGCTGAAGAGTGGCACAAACAGCCATGAATGCAGTGAAAGAAAACTCCCTGGCATGCTCCCAACTCCTGGCTGGGGCCCAAACAAACCCACAAACAACAAAAAAACACAACAACAAACCACAAAGACAACTGTGGGAGGAGTGTGAAAATATACCAGCACACATCTCCAACAATGCCACGCCAAACATTCCAGCCCTGCTCAGTATTTTCCAAACTTTTTAGATTTAATTATGGCAGAGAAAGAAAAGGTTCCCAAGCCCATGGCACAGGGAACAATCAGAGGCTTATGCTGCTGTGGGGACATGGCCTGATCCTCCCTGAGGCCCTTTGGCAGTGCAGTGCCATGCAGAAAACTAGATGGACCCAAAATATACAGGCTGAGAGGGTTGGGGCTGTGCAGCCTGGAGAGGAGAAGGTTGTGTGGAGACCTCACAGCATCTTCCAGAGTCTGAGGGGGCTACAAGGGACCTGGAGAGGGACTGTGCATCCTGGAGTGACCCAAGCCCATGGCACAGGGAACAATCAGAGGCTTATGCTGCTGTGGGGACATGGCCTGATCCTCCCTGAGGCCCTTTGGCAGTGCAGTGCCATGCAGAAAACTAGATGGACCCAAAATATACAGGCTGAGAGGGTTGGGGCTGTGCAGCCTGGAGAGGAGAAGGTTGTGTGGAGACCTCACAGCATCTTCCAGAGTCTGAGGGGGCTACAAGGGACCTGGAGAGGGACTGTGCATCAGGAACTGGAGTGACAGGACAATGGGGAATGGGTTCAGCCTGAAAGAGAGGACCTTTAGACTGGATAGTAGGAAGAAATTCTTCCCTGAGGTGATGGCATAGGTTGCCCAGAGAAGCTGTGGCTGTTCCACCCCTGGAAGTATTCCAGGCCAGGCTGGATGGGGCATGAAGCAACCTGGGGGAAGGTAAGGTGTCTCTGCCCATCACAGGGGGTGGACTGAATGATCTTCAAAGTTCCTCTCAACCCAAACCATTCTATGATTCAAACAAATCCAACTAGAGCTTAATGTTCTGCAGACTGGAATTGTTTCTGTTTCGACCTCCCATTCTATCAACAGATCCTGCACTTCCCCTGCAGCACAAAGGAAATCTCCTCCTTCACTGCTGCTCTCGGATCTGCCCATCACAGGGGGTGGACTGAATGATCTTCAAAGTTCCTCTCAACCCAAACCATTCTATGATTCAAACAAATCCAACTAGAGCTTAATGTTCTGCAGACTGGAATTGTTTCTGTTTCGACCTCCCATTCTATCAACAGATCCTGCACTTCCCCTGCAGCACAAAGGAAATCTCCTCCTTCACTGCTGCTCTCGGATTGAGGGGAAAATGATGAGGCAGAGACTGCAGCTCTCAAATAATGGCAAAGCCAAGTGACAGATGCAGCACTGAGTAAGTGACAGGAGTTTTCAGAAGTTCAGGGAGAACTGAGAAGAGCACAATAAGCACAGTTAGCGACACACAGGAAAATAAGCCCAGGAACAGAAAGCAGGAATTAATGAAATGATAGCGTTAAGTAACAGCTGAAAAGAACCAGCAATTATTTATGAAATAAAGATGCTGACAGCTTTGGCTGCAAAGATTCCTCCTGCTAGAACTATGTAATTTCTGCAACCACCAGATCACTGGTTGTTAAGGGAAAAGAAAAATATTTTTTTACAAGATTTTTCTGGGAGCATCAAAGTGATGGATGGTATCAATGATACACACCCAGCACGAGGCAGCTCCTGTCTCCAGCCTCCCCCTTCCCAGGATCCAGACAACAATGTTTGCCCTGTTGTTCTTTCATGGACAATCCTAAACTAAATTTGCCAAATGCCATGAACTGCACTATCTCTAGTTACCAAGGGAAAAATGTATGTCAAGGAGGGTAAATGTGAACCGTGAGGTTTGCAGCTCAGTGTTCCCTGGGTGCTCACGAGCAGGGAGCAATTGGAGGGTGAGGAGAGCAGACTCAGGTGGAGAGTTCACCTGTAACAGGTATTCCCTAAGCTCATTCCCAACAGGAAAAGGTCTATTACAAAAGTTTATTTAAAGCCACTTGTTTGCTAGCAGAGCCTTTGTGAAAATAAGTAAACCCCACAAAACAGAACCCTTCTCTTTGAGTTTTAGTAAAGAAATGCTGCCCTTGCACAGAATCCCAGGAGAGCTGGGGTTGGAAGGAACCTCTGAGGATCATCCAGTCCCACCCCCTGCCAAGGCAGTGTCACCTAGAGCAGGTGACACAGGAACACATCCAGGTGGGTTTGGAATGTCTCCAGATAGGGAAACTCCACACCCTCTCTGGGCACATGTCCCAGGGCTCTGTCACCTCCATGGAAAGAAGTTTTTCCTCGTGTTGAGACGGAACTTGTGTTTTAGTTTGTGGCCATCGCTCCTTGTGCTGTCACTGGGCACCACTGAACAGAGTCTGGCACCATCCTGACACCCCTTGGACATATCTGTATGGATTGATGGGATCCCTCTCAGCCTTCTCTTCTCCAGACTAACCAGGCCCAGCCCTGCAGTCTCTCCTCATCAGGGAGATGCTCCAGAACCCAAATCATCTCTATGGCTTCTGCTGGACCCTCTCCAGCAGCTCCTTGTCCTTCCTGAACTGTGGAGCCCAGAACTGAACTCAGCACTCTAGATGTGCCTCACTAGGGCCACTCCTCAGGATTCAATCCACCTTCTCATTTCACAGTTCCTTGGCATTTCCCTGCCCTGCTCCCAGTGGCAGCAGCACTGCCTGGTCCATGGGATGGGCAGGGGTGAGATGACTGTGCCAACATCCCCCCAGGACAGCAGGCAGAGGGACCTCTGCCTCCTCCAACAGGCTAAAGGTCACCTGCATTCAAAGCACCATCTCCTAATCAATAGCTGAGAGCATGGAATAATAAACAGAAATAACAATGAGGAACTCCATAATAAAACACTTGGGGGAAAAAACCAACTTATCTAATTCTAACCTGAATTTTATGAGTCTCTGGTTCAAATAACCTTTAACAGGGGTAAATAAAACTCTTATTAAAGCAAACAGGAGGGAGTAGGTGAGAGAGCAGAGCTGAACTAGCCACCCTGAGCCCCATTACAAGTGCTCACAATGTCACTGATTGAAAGGAAGCTGCATCTATTTACAGCAGGCCTGAACGTGGTCCAAAATGCTGATGCAGATTCTTTCTAGTAGGCAAAATAGCAAATTAGAGAACAAAAATACCAAGCTGTTTCCAAACCCCAGCAAAACGTGCTGTGTATAAATACAGAACCACTCGAACAAAGCAGCAGTGACATCTGCACCACACACAGGCTCCTTCCAGCAGCTCCAAAAGGGCAGGAAAGGCTTCGGCAAAGCCCATCAGGAATGTGCACTGAGCTCTGCAGAGTGTGCACAGGGTTTGTCCCTGCTTAGGGCACTTAAAGGTCTCTGATGTAAGTCCCTCCAAGAATTCTCCTGACCTTACTTGGCTCAACTCAGCCAGCAGCAAGAAGTAGCCAGAGGGACATCTCACCAGGGATGGACCAGCCACAACTGCTCTGGGAAATCCATCTCAGTGCCTCAGCACCTCCCAGGGAAGGATTCCTTCTGTATATCCAACCTTAACTGCCTGGTTGGACATCAGGAGGAATTTCTTCAAGGAAAGGGCTGTCAGGCATTGGAAGGGGTTGGACAAGGAGGGGGTGGAGTCACCATCCCTGGAGGTGTTCAAGGAACAACTGGACGTGGCACTCAGTGCTCTGCTCTAGCTGACAAGGTGGTGATGGGTCACTCAATGGTCTTGGAGGTCTTTTCCAACCTCAATGATTCTGGGATTCTGAGGGGTTATCACAGGCATCTTGCCCCTTTGTGCAGAACTTCCAGGGACACCACAGCACAGCAGAGCTCAGCCAACACATCACAGTGACTTTACTCCGTGATTCTGTTCAAACCCAACTGTGGCTGGGTTTAACCACCCCAAATGGCCTCACCTTTTGTCACCCCTCCAATGCTGCAGATCTGCTGGGTGACAGCCATGAGCCCTTTTCTGACCTCCCCACAACTGGGAGGCAGGGCCAAGACAGGATCATGCTTGAATTTCCTGC